GTCTCCTCCATAACCTCCTCGCAGGCGTTGGCAGGTTGCTGGTAGGTGCCCAAATCCATCCCCTCCCCACGCGGACCAAGCCCCCTTCCCTCAGCCTCTCCTCACAGGGCTCCAGCCCCAGATGAGCGTGACCATCAGTGTCTTTCTTGTGGGGAGGAGCCCAGGACTGGATGCAGTAATCTCTAGAAAATAGTCAATGTTTTACTGGTATTTTAGTGACCAGAAGGAGACGCATAGGCTCAGAAGAGGAACACTTACCAGCTGAAGCAGATCTAAGGGCACGAGGGGAGAAAAGGTTCAAAGGTACTCTTTTTGAGAGTAACAGTCTCAGAACCAGAGTGCAGTATTTCCTCAGGAACTTTGTAACTGGCTGCATATGATGCCCTTGTTACTTGTCTTGAGGCTTCAGTCCCCGCGTTATCTCGGTGCAGCGCCTCTCTCTGATCATCACGTTCATCCAAACACAATTCTCTCTCGTGGAAGTACACCAGGGACACACGGTTTGAGAGGATTAATCCCATTTGGTATATAGAACCTGTGAGTCATCGCCACTACTTGTTTGAGCAGTATTAAATGTAAGCATCTTAGTTGTATCTGTACACCCACACTGAAGTTTTTATATAAGATTCAAATGTGCCTGATTAACATAAGAAAACCCAGTGCATATTGGTAGAGCAGGTGCAAGCAATGTCTCATTTCTTCCTGAACAAAAGGTTAATACATTCCCACAAGTGACTTAATCCAACCTTCTCACTAAAAATGATATGATTGTAAATGAATATAAATGAAAGTTAAAAAGCTTCAAGTAATGCACTGTAATTATTAGTTAATATTCAAAAAGGGCAGGAAGTTTAAAAAAAAAAGAGAAAAGTTTCACCACTAACTACCAACAACTAACGTGCACACACTGCATTGATTTTAAGAATTAATTATGCTGTAAAATTTAAGCTTAAGTAGGACTGTGATGTAATGAGATCTGCAGCTCATGTTTTGACTTGTAGATTTAAAATCTAAGTGAATTGAAAGTAAATGTCACCCCAGAGGATTTAAGTTTTATGATGCGGAACCCCATTGAAAAGGGAAAATAGCAATTTGGTAAAATATGAATGATACTAGTAGTCCCAAATTCATTTTATGTGTTTCATTACCTCAGTTAAAGTTTGTTCAAGTATATATGTAAAGTAATTAGTTATTGTATAGAGGAAAAGAACAGGAACTATGATAAACATTTCCTGGTAAGAGGTTGCCGTGAGGTGACAGGATGTGAATTGGGCCGGAGTAATAAAATTCTGTGTGTGAGTATGTGCGTGTGTGTGTATATAGCAGGGAGTAAAAACTGTTTTGGGAATTTAATCCTACTGAAGAGTAAAACCTGTTGTGGATGTTTTCCATCTAGAGATTTTCTAACCCCTGAGGAGAAAAAGGTTGCACCTAGAGCCTGGTCAAATCAGCACCAGGTTCCTTCAACCCAGGAACACTGCAGGGACAGACATTGCGGTGACAAAGGCGAGCAAGGGAGGGCCGGCACCCCGGCCTCCTCACCCAGCTGTCTCGTGGTGGCCCCAGTGGTCACGTCACGAGAAGGGGCTGGACACCTGAAGGGCCCTGCGAGGAAGCTGCCAAGGGCTGCCAGTCACTAATGACCAGCTCCTCTTTTCAACAGGCTTATGGAGAGCGGGGAGGTGCAGTAACAGCTGTCAGTATTGCTGGGCTGCTATTTATTGTACATTTACTAAGAGGAGCCGTTTTTTCTGGTAACGTGGGTTTTGTTAATCTTTGTTAAAGGTTGGCTGAGCATTTATCTGCTTTTGTACATCTGTTTGAAAGACAGGAATTGAATTTCCATTTTTCAATGGGAATTTCTTGTGCAACTGAGTTTTGTTTTGTTGATTTTTTTTTTTTTTAAATTTTCCTTAGAAACAAAACCTGCACAGTTTTAAATTCTTTCCAAAAGAAATTTTTAGTTAGATGGACCTGATTTCAGGAAGTGTTGGACAGAGCTAGAAATTCTCATGTGAGATAGTTCTCTCAAGGTTTTGCTAGCTCTTCTGTTTTGCTGCAATTGTTCTGAGACAGTCTTGGGCATTTGTGAATGTGGAAGAAAAATCTGTAGCACCACAGACCGGTGTGCAAGCTGGCATGGTTTTTCAGAAGCAAAGAAAAGCTTTGAAAAAGCTATGAAAAGGTACTCCAGCCAGTCTTTGAGACCAGATATTAAATCATGCTCAGGCTTACCCTACTTTTCATACATAATGCAGTATGTATACATGCACAAATACATAAAAGTCTGCCTAAATTTGAAAGATGTGATTTAGCTGTGCTTTTATTCATAAGGTTTTCTTAACATGACAGGAGCTAGTTATGCTGATTTATTTAGTCTTTAAACTGTCTAGGCATTAGCATCTAAGTATGTTTACAGTCCACAAAGAATCTATTAGGCAAGAAAGTGGGTCATTCTTGTTTGATTGCTGAAGTGAAGCAGTGATTATAGGGCAAGAAGGCCGAGTGTGTAAGGCACTCGCTACAGATTTTAAACCCTAAAGGGGAGGCGTTAGTTCTGGATCGTAATTTAGAAGATGTACACAATGTTGGCTTACTTTGAATAACGGTACAAAGAATGTCAATTTTATTGTCTCTCGAGGAGCATAATTTCTGCAATTGTCGGAATTGCATAATAAAAAATAAATTAATTGCCTGTACTCTGTGAAAATGGCTTGATTGGATATTGGTAAAAAGACATTAAATTACAGAGAAACCAATGACTGAACTTCAAAAGTTACAAAAAGGAATACTTCAGCTGCGTAGGTTACAAATCACATTCAGTACGTTTTTCTGTACTAATTTTCAGGGAGGATATGTAACTATTAGCAATAAATGTTTATCATCTTGGTTCTAGGGCTTACTGAAGCTTCCTTGTTCTCAAGCTGCCAGAGCAACCTGAGTATTTCCCACATGCCAGAAATCTTCTGAATAAGGTAGAGCTGATTATATCATTTTCTTCTGCCATGTTTTCTTCTGAAGAACTAGTGAAGAACTGGTATATTGCTAAGCTCATCTTCCCAGTATGTTCCTGCAGCAAGAAGGAACTTCCATTTAAGATGCAGTCCCTCGGCTTAAGAAACAAACAAACAAACCAACCCCACAAAAACCAACCAAACAAAAAGCCTAACCCTTTTGCCTGCTCACATTAAGTACCAGTTCTGGGAGCGGTTAGGCTCTGTTAACAAGTTGCCCAGAAAACTGCAGAACCTCCATCTTTGAAAATTTTCAAAACCTGACTGGACAAGGCTGTAATCGACCTGATATGACTTCTGAGTTACTGACGCATTGATCAAGAGGGTGAATTAAATTACACCCAGCCATCCGTTCAGCAGCAATCTCTCCATCAGAAGTTAAATTAGTCAAGCATATTAATTATTTGAGTTGTGGAAACAGTTAAAGATCCGTTCAAATGTGGTTTAGACGAGCTTGTTTTCTTACGCACAGACAACACCTCTTTGGGGGCTTGCTTTCAAGTTTTTCTGAAAAATACATTCAGAGTTCTTCCAAAAGGAAACACTGAACATCGTTAGCGGCACAGACTAGTAATTCAGAGGTGCTCTTCAACGGCAGTGGAGTACCCGTGTTACAGACATACTCCAGCGGGTATCTGCTGCCGCCTTCAGAGCATTCCCAGTATTAAAGAATTGCTTAGTCAGAAATTAATAGCATCCCCTTCTTTTGCACTAGTTTTCGGGTGGGCAGAGGGGAAGAATCCTAAGAAGAAAGATGTTGTTAAGTAGATAGTCGGTGAGCGTTTTTGTGTATGAGCAAAGGATTTTTTTTTTCATGTTAGAAACGCACAGCAATGCAGTTATCGTAATGAGTAAGACAAACAACACTTCGAGTTACATCGTTAGCTGTTAGGTTCAACAGTCACAACTGAGGAAAAAGAAGATCTTGGAGCAAAGGCTGCAGACTGGGCTGTGGAAAACCTGGACTCAATTCGAGCTTCCAGAGTGCATTTGTATAGTTTTGGTTAAGTGATTCCAGCTCTGTGACTCAGTTCTTCACACACAAAACAAATTATGCCCTAGCTCTCCTTTTATCTTCCCTGTACTTCAGAAAAAGCTTTTGTAGCACAATCAAGGCCAGATTGGCAGAAGCTCTTCCTTACTAAATCCACAGATGGGAGATAAATCAACTGGATTTTATACGCCTAAATACACCTGTGTGTGGCTGCAGTGTACGTACATGGATGTATCTGTGTGTGTATGTGTGTTCCGCAGCTGCCCACTCTCAGCTGAAGTTAAGCACTGCCTTTAAAAAGAACAAACAACAACAGTTTGGTGCAAATGCAGACCCAGCTGGTACACCAACAAGGACAACTGTAGGTAAAAAATCCAGTCGTACCAAAAAGTTAGTATCTAACTGGGTGTCTGGGATGTAATGTGGTACATTGTTTTAGTTTGCTTGAGAAGGTTTTTAAAAATAGACAAAAAGAGATGATTTGAAAGACTATTTCATGCAGTGAGCGTTCTTTCCGCAGGGAGAGCAAGAAATTATGCTTCTGAAAAGTCAGTTTGTACCCACCTCCCCCTAACACAACCTGCCAAGATATCAGCAAATATAAATACCAGGCTTTTGCACCATGATATGCTTTATTATTTCCTCACGCACAATTTAAGCAAAATGGTTAAGGAAGAACAGTGGTACAGATTTGAGGGTGCACATGATTCCATATACCTCGTAACATAAAGGTTCCCAAAGAATAAAACTTACATTTTTTTTAAAGGGGAAAGAATGTATCAGTATTTTTTCAAAACTGAAATTGTTTATTTTCTGTTTTGGTGAATCTGAATTTTCAAAGTTTCTAATTGAAGCTGTCAAATACATACCATGTATTTATTTGCTGTCCTGTCTGTACTCATTTTGCTACTGACAGTAAAAAAAAAAAAAAAGAAAAAGAAAAAGTTTAGTTTCCATTTTTCACACCACAGATTCTCAGCACACCAAGGAACATCGTCCTTGAAGTTAAATCACTCAGACGTGACAGAAGGCTCCTCCTGCTCACAGGCATATTGTACATCCATTGAAATGTAGTGCAATACATCACTGAGGTATGTTGAGTTTTGCTTTTGTCAGCTTGCTACTTTTTTTTTTTTCCTAAACCCTATAAGTTTGGGTTTATCATCCCCATTCCTTGGCACTCAATGATGTAGGTGTCTTTACTGGGATCTTCCTCTTCCAATTTTGTCACAGTAAATTTGGCCTAAAACAGGATTAGAAATATATCACTAATGAAGTTATAACATAAATAAGTTTAAATATTCAATACCTGATGCCAAATAATTGTGTTGCCATGTGTTTATCTATATTACAGCTGTGATTGATTCCATTAAAAAACCATTTAAATAAAGGTGTAAGAGTATCTAACCCTTCTAAAGGTGCTTGACTCCAAAGTATGCTCTACAGGTAAACTCCCATGTAAATATTGTAGCAGTTATTTTACCAACGCTTGTCCTCCATGATCAAGTTCAGCTCACAATGCCTGCTAACCTGTACACTGCCTAGTGACTGGATGACAGAGAGGGAAAAACTGCCCGAGCTTTTGGACTCACCTTTGTTAGCTGCTCTGCAAAGTGAATAGCCGTTTGAGTGTGAAGTGTAATCGGTCCACTTTTCACTCTAGACACCCCCTTTGCTAGTGCCATAAAAATGATCAGCTGAAAGGGAGGGAAAGGTAATTACTAAGTAACTCTTCAGATCCTAGGAACATACTGATTTTAAAAAAAAAAAAAAAAAAAGGAAAATCATGTAAAATGTCTGTAGATGTAAAAATGTGGTCTGAGAAGCATGACGCTGAGTCTTAAGAGTGATCCAAGGCTCCAGAAGCTTGGAAATTACTGCTGTAATGCCTATTACAGAAGGGCTGCTACGTTTCCACAGTGGAGTTTGCCACTGAATTCCTGTTACTACAGTTAACTTTGCTTAACTTTGCTCTACCCCATCCTCCCGCCCTGAAATTCCCCAAAGTCACGTCAGACTCCAGGCTGGTAGATTACCTTTATAGAAAGAAAACCTCAGGAACAGGTTCTTTAATTCTAACACTCTCTGATCATATACTCGCCCAACAGACATTTAAAAACCTCTGATTTGATTTACAAACATCACTGAATTCTAACACTCTCTGATCATATACTCGCCCGACAGATATTAAAAAACCTCTGATTTGATTTACAAACATCACCATGACAAGTGCTCTGTAAAGCGTACGGAACTCTGGGCAGCTCCCATGCACACCAAATCCAGCCCTGGCATGTTTCCACCAATACTTTGGGAACAGCAGGGCGGGGCCAAGACCTATGTACTTCCTGGTGTCCTACAGAATGGTGATGGGGGGCCAGGTGATTCCAGCCAAGAGGTCATGTCATCCTGCCCAGAACAGCCCAAGATTCTTGTCAGGCCGCGCTACTGAAAACAAGATAGCGAGGGGTCTTCAGGCTCCAATGAAAGTAGGTGAGCAAGACAGACAGGAGCACCTCCTAGGTACTTTGTTCTCTAATGGCTTCACTCAGTACCATTCTTAACGTGTAACCAGGGACCTATTTTCACTACATGGAGTGCCAAATAGAAGCAAATTCCTACGTCCTTCTTCCATACCTACTAAGATTTACAGAAAGGGAAAATTTAAGGGTGTTGGTGCAAAGCCAGGAGCATCTGTGGTTCCAAACAACTGTCTATAATTTGCTAATCCTAGTGAAGTTGTGACCACACTCAGAAACCTCCTAAAACTTCTAATTATCTGATAATTATGTAAAGCCACACCCACCCGTGGAGATACAGTCTAACTCTGAAATCTGCATCTCATTCTCTCCCTGTTCAGATTTATATTCTTTACAAGTAATAAATACATGGCATGTTCTTGCTACTTCAACTTCATGCACACACACACAGGAGCCTTACTTGGTCTTGCAAAGAATCATCCACAGTTCCACCGTGTTTAAGATTCCTAAGCAGTATCTCAGCTGCTTCAATGCCAACCTTGTCAGAATTCTTTCCTAACAGAGAAATGCAGGAGATTAGGATGCTGCCAATTATTATTTAACATTTTAAAAATACAGAAAAAAAAAGAATCAAGAAATTATCAACTTTTTACACCTTATTTCCATGCTCTTGCCTCAAATGCCTGCTTAAAAAATCCCTCCCATCTTATGATGACATACAGTTCATACTTCCTAAGCAGCAGAAAGAAAGTAGCCCCACTTAGGCAGAGAAATATTTTATTCAAACCGTTTAAAACCAAAATCACTTCTGTTTCTTTTAATCTAGATACACATCTAGATTCACTGTTGAACAAAAACTTCAGAAGTAAACTACACAGACTCTAAGTTCTTAAAAGTCCAGAAGCATTTTCAACTCAGTGATCCTTAACAATCCATTCTGGTAAAAGGTGAGTTTAATAATTTTGTGATTTTTGTCACTGTGCAGAAGCAGCCTTAGTACAAAGTGTAAGATTCCATTTACTATGTTTAAATCTGCTCATTTCCACTGTCCTTTATTACTAAACAAGATCCATTTAAAAATGCAACACTCAAAAGCATCAGCTCTTTGAACCGATCACACTTCGGATTCCTATTTGTTAATAGTACGTTAAGTCACGTCTGAAAGGGCTGCGCTTCCTGGAACTCTCACCTCTCTTGCCAAGTGATGACCCAGCTAACAAACAACCCGTCGAAGTCTCTGCAACAATACTGAGCAGAAAAAACAGAATCAATATTAAGAACAAAGCCACTCACATTACCCATTATTTATCAGATATGTAACCCAGATCGAGCTAATCAACCAGCAAGGTTACAGGTATCAATAGAGTCTGGGCTCATCTTACATTATTCCACTTCCAGTCCCAAAGGCTTGATCATCAGGTTCTCGAACAGGCTGAATGTTAATGTAAAGATCTCTGATTTCCTTCCTGATGCATCTCACCGCTGCTGCCGACATGTCTTTTGCCAGCTAACAAGATAAGAGATAAAAACATTAATTAAATTATGTAACTATAATAATACTTTTTCCTCGTAAGTCTAAATATTACAGTGAATCCCTGAACAAAGGGGCTACTTTATTAACTAGAAAAACAAAGCATGGTTATAAAATCCCTACAAGCAAGCACTGAAATCACCTCTTCCCAAGTATTTCCCACAAAATCAAGGTAGCATTAAATGCTGAACAAATGACCATTATAGTGATCTATGTAGAGGCTTCAATACCAATAGAAATTCAAGAACCTTTCTCCACTCATAGGGAGAAAGATTTGATTTTAGTCTTGATTATCTCAAGATAGATTGTAAAAAAACCCCCAAAAAATCAACAAACAACCCACAATTATTATGTATAGGACACCCTCTGTAAGATATAATATATAAAATAATGGTTTTAAATCACAGGCAGGTGGGGGCAGATGATGCTTATTCCATCCTTGTGATCCAATCATAGTCAATATTCACAGGTTTGGAGATTCTAGGACCAAAACCAACAGTCCACAGCTCTTCAAAAAGTAACTCTGTTTCTCCTCTTCCTCCCTTTAATTCCTAGCCTGTGAGAAAAGGAGCCTTGAGGAGATCCTGCAATTCATCCTCTGTAAACACAGGACAGGAATAACAGAGAGAAGGGGGTACAAAGTAGCAAATTTCTCTCGGTTTTATCTTTGGCTAAACCTACCCTCAACTAGTTCTGTCTAATACCCCCCTTAGCAACGGCTGAAAAATTTGATGTAGTCCAACCTCTGCCTGCTACAGCGCACCACAGTTTACCCCTAAACCTACGAATGAGGGCTGTGATTTCAGATTTAAAATAATCCACGTAAATCAGATATAAGATACCCCTCAACCTATGCCAAAGACTTTGGAACAGTCATATGAAGGTTATCAAGGAAACCGTTCTCATTTCCTGGTTTAGCTGCTCCCATATTGCTACGGAATAAATGTATTTTGGAAATGACCAAAGTTCTTTTCTATGGCCTGAATAACTGAAACCGTTTAGCAAGGCCACTTAGTCTGTATGTGAAAGACCGCAGAATACAGGAACAGTAGAGGTACGTTAAGCAGATTACACACAATTTTATATAGATATATGAAGTTGGACACCACCAGAGCTATTATCAGCACTTACTTTTATAGGCAGTGCTCCAGCCACAAATGCTCTTCCGTATATCTTTGTCACTGTGCCGCGTTCTGTCAGGTTTATTGGGCTCAGCTCTTTGACTGGTGACATCTGGACTACAACTTCACCACCTCCCTGAGGGTAGTAGCCCCTATTTAAAAACAGTAATCACATACAATTAAATGCAAAGATCACAAGGAAACCAAGAAAAGAGCCAGAAGGCTTTCCATATACATTTTTATGTTGTCTGTTACTGCACATATGCATTTTCTTGATGTGTGCCTTTGAAAACTTTGTAATAGAATTGGGTTCTCTAACAGTGTTACCTCGTAACACACACCTTATTAACAACCCAACACCAACATAGCTGGCACCTCAGAAAAAGCGCAGTAATGTACTGCCTGTTCAGCATGTGCTTCCCTCAGGGGTAGCCCACAGGAAACACGAAACAGCAGCTGAAGACTCAGCAATGGAAAAAAAAAGGCAGGAAAGAACCGTACCACATTCATCACAAGGTGACAGTACACACAGGGGCAGCTAATGCATTTCATGGAACAGAAATTCATCTCTCAGCTTGATTGAGGGCACCTTGTGTGTGTACCTCTGTGCTCACTCACTGGTCCAGTAAGGCCTGCCTCTGCCACAGCTCCATAACTCACCTCTTTTTTATGTCACAGTTAAATGTGAAATTGAACTTTTCAACTATTGGCTTGAAAACCTGAAAAACAAGCATATATAAAACCACAGAGTGAATCTCGTTTGCATTTAAAATGTCCCACTATTTTATACAGTCTTCCAAAAAAAACCCAAACAAACTTCAACACAAAAATCTCAGTTACATTCAGTCTTATCTATACAGCTTATCTGACATTCCTCACACTTCATTCTGAATGACATTTTGTGCAAAAGGATTTTCTTACAGAAAGAGGAACAGAAATTCTGAACAATTCACAGCACTTCCAGAATAAATATATTTTAAGTGAAATTTTCTTTAGTAATTAAAAGCAAACAGACTAGTTGCTGTTTCAGGGGATTCCTTGAAACACTGCTTGCTGTCTACATACAGCACACTAATAGTGTTTTATTTCCATGCCTAACTCCATAATTACAAATAAGTAAGCACAGTAGTGACATTGCACGTATATGCATGAAAGACGCACCAAGCCAAAGAAATTTTTCCCTACCATGACTGTGTAGTCTATCTGAGGAGCCATCTCAGCATTAGTCCCACCTTTTAAATGAAGTTCTGATGGGGAAGCAGCAAACAGCACACAGGGCATTGCTACCTGCATCAGTAGACACACACTCCTAGAAGCAATTATAAGATCCACAAATGTCATGCAGTCATAATCCACAGGAGTCCACAAAATCATTACGTATCAAAAGCAAATGACTTTCCAGAGCATTTACGTAAGTATTTGATTTTGAACATTATCTATAAACTTACTAGTCTTAAAAAATACTAATTTAAAACGTCATGTCCTTAGCACGCCTAAATATGAAGGGTTTCGTTTCACAATAACGGCGTCTTTAATATTGCTGTTTGAAATAACAGTGATATAGCTTACTTAGTACAGCAATGAGACTGGGAAAGCTGTATGTTTAGCTAGCAGATGATAAAAGCAGAAAAGGCTTAGGCAGCAATTTTAACATTCTAACAATTATTTAATAACAAAATACTTCGAAAACTACAAAATTGCTTAGAAGCTGGTCAGCATCCCACCCGTGTACAAAGACATACCCTGCTGTTTTCGTATCTGCTATGTGGGTTCCACCTTTGATCTTCCCAGGGGTGAAGGTTATTTCTGTTGAGCCAATTTCTCCACCTTCCAGCTTCCCCTCACACAGATCTCGAATGACCTCCAACCCAGACAGATGCTGAGGCCTTGGAGTGACAGTACAAAGTTAGATACCTGCAAGTAGACTACTCACTCATCTTACTTTAAGAGAACTACTAAACACCAACTAATAAATAGTACAACTGCAAATTTCAGATCAAACACGGATCAGAAATTCAATCTGGTCTGGGCTCACAGGAGCCAGCAGTCAGGCCAATCAGGAATTTGCAGGATTCTGGTGTGTTTTCCATCACAATGGGTCCAGACAGACAGACAAGATGCAGGAGCAGTTGCTTGTCCTAATGGGATAAATGCTCGGACAAAAACGCACGGGGATAACGATGGCAATGCTGAACTGGAGCCAAGCCAGTAACGGGTTGGCAGAGCCACAAGAGAGCTAACAGTTGTGCTATGCATCTGTCTTGCTGTGCTTGCGTTTCCATTTGAGCAACTTAGACAGGAAAGGCACGAACCGTTCTGAACACCACCACGCCCGGTGAACCCCCTGTCGCTGCGGCATTCTGTGACCTCAGCTGCATTTCACGTTTCACGCCGCGCAGCCTGCTCACCCCCCCCGGGAAGCGCGTTCGAG